TCATAAAGATACCTCAATTTTTACTCAAGTTAGAGCTTGCACGGACGGACGGACGGACGGACGGACAGACAGTCACCCGGATTTCAACTCGTCTCTTCATCCTGATCATTTATATATACACATAACTCTATATCTAACTCGATTAGTTTTAGGTGATACAAATAACCGTTAGGTGAACAAAACTATTATACTCTGTAGCAACAGGTTGCGAGAGTATAATAAAATAAGAAAAAAAATATCATTCGTTATCACACAAAGCCCAGAATACCCTATTGGACTGGTTCTTACCTGTGGATGAGTACGGCCGGGTTCGATTGCGACAGAAACCGATTCATTTTTTACATTAAGACACAAGAAATCTGTAACCTATCATTGTGGAATTCGAAAATTATACATTAATAAAAATTTTTTAAAGTTTGAAAGTGAAATTTTCAGCTTGCGCAGTGGTCTGCGCAGACCCCATCGACATGTGTTAAAATTGCACCATACAGGTTATAGCTGTGCTGACCTTCCTATCTGGTCGCGAAAATAAAAAAAGAGCAATATATATTTTATTCAAGAACAATGCAAATATAAGCTGCGTATTATTAATACACAATCTAGATAATAGAAAGTCAGATTTCAAAATTGCAATTACATAAATTCCCATATCCACAACTATAAAATGTACAGCACAATTTTAACATATGTCGAGCGCTAAATCTTTACTCCATTTTAAACCACCCGATTTAACATAAGGTGAGAAACGTGCCGAGGGATGAATAACAGAGATATCATGTCGCTAGCGTCAAATTCAGCTGCACCCTGTCTAATGAAAGCCTTACCCTTCTATAGTACCTCTGGGAGGGTTGACCGAGAGAGCCTCACAATCAGATGAAGACAAAGCAACTCGGTTACAGCACATGCGGCAACATATTGCTGAATATCGAGCTTCACAGATCCGCAGCAAATGCGACAACCAAAGGCAAAGTCGAGAAGACTAGGTAGAGCCAGTATCAGGCTTCAATTAACACATTTCGTGACCAGATCTGTGAAATTTGCGCTAAACGGTGCTATCCTAATCAGATCTCTAAATGGATTGTAGACATTTAGTCAGCACCAGATTTGCCTAGCGAAATAAAACGAAGAAATCTAGATCGTTTGTAAACGGTGCAAGACTTATTTGAGTTTAAAGAAAAATTTTGCACCGTATAAATCTTATTGAAACAATTTGGACCCAGGTTCCATTCCAAAATTAATTGCGGAATTATCGCAAGCAGAATAACGGCTAATTTCACGCATTATTTTGTTTGTAAAATTGTTTAAAATAAGTGGAGTATTTGGGCAATACAGTTTTCGTGGCTAAGCGGTATTGTTCGTGTTTTTGAAGTTACTGAAAATCTCCCGAACATGTTACCAACAAGTGCAAATAATGCTGGAGACGACTATTCTTACTTACTGAGCGTTTAGAGAACATTCATGTAATACGTCTGTTTATGATGCACTCTATTGGCTAATTTCAAACAATCCATTTTACAAAGTTCTCACGACAAGAACGTTGTAATTGAAGAATATAATAATATAAGAGTTGAAAAAGCACCATTCGAGATAGCTGAAGAGACTAGTGAAGAACATACTGAGATTGCGAGTGCTTGAAAAGAATTCCGTGATTTCCTCAAGAATTGTACGTACTTCATGGCATCAAGGAAACGAGCTCATATTCACATCAGGATTTGCAGGAGTGCAATGTTGTGCGATGGCATTAGCAATCGTTCTCCGAGCATTCTTTCACCACAATATTGGTCTGCGAACATCCTGAATCTTAATAAGATAACAGGTGACTAAATCAACTATCAAAGATTTCAAATATAGAGAAGTTTAACGGCTTATACTATGGAAATGATCAATGCTTAATATTACGAAATTTCACAGTCTTCCAAGATGACTTGGTCTCATTCGGCAAAAGATTTCGTATCACTTTTGACGAAGAACCAAGCACATATGAAAGCTTGAACGACAAATCTAACGAACAAACCTTGGAAGTACTCTGCGTTAAGATTTTAAAGATCTGTTTATGGTATTTAAAGGTGGCATACTAACAACAGACAGTCAATAGTTTGGAGTAATGTATTATGGTAACAAATATTACTTCAGTAACTCTCATTCTTGTGCCCAAAAGCGATCTAGGGCAAACGATAACAATAAAAAGGCTTGTGTTATTGATGCGATAATTTTGACGATTTCGTGAGGATATCTAAACGTACAACAGGCAGCAATAATGTACAATTTACGCTTGGTTACATCTATGTTGAAGTCTTGGCTGGTAGACATAATGATTCTGAGGAAGTAGAAACTCATCGGAGCATTGATGGGGTAGCAGCAGTATCGCAAACAACCACTTCTCAACAGAATATAAACTCATCAAACTATTCCACTGCAGACATCAATGATGGCACCGATTGATGTAATGCCTTCTAATGTCGAAAATGAATGACAATTGTTAATCAAGGAGCAGTTGAAGACGTCCATCTTTATCTCTAGAATATAAGAGGTTCTGCAGCCTATTGGAGATCAGCCTTAAATGAGCTATTAGCTGAAATCAGATTATAGGAACTCCAACCTATTTTGTAACATTTAGTTCGAATGATCTCCTCTGGTTAGATCAGCTAACGGCTTTGTTAGCCGATGGAGGACCTGACGTTGATCCAAGTACAGTTGACATCTATGAGAATCAACGATTCATCGAAAATTACACAGTGATTTTAAGACGACATTTCATGATTAGAGTAAATGCTGTAATGAAATTTATTTAAAATAATGATGAGGTGTTTGGAGGAAAATTTCAAGACTTCTGGAGGCATATTGAGTTTCAGAATCGTGGTAGTCTTCACCTTCATATGGTGGTTTGGATCGAAAATCATCCAGCATTTGCTACAGAGACTTGTGAAGAAATGTCGATGAAATACACAAACTTGTACGAAGAACAATACCTCTGTAAGATGTCGATTCAACTTTCCACGTCAAGAATGTGACGAGACACGAATATTATCACATTCTTCTGATGATTTCCTTCGTAATGGGGGCAGACTTTGTTAAATACGATTTACGTTATTGAGTCTTTGGACAGGTAATATCGACATTCAGCCGTGCAGATCAAACGAAACGATAGCATACAATATTGCAAAGTATCCAGCAAAAGCAGAACCTGACGGTGCCAATTCTGGAATTGCACAGGCAATACAATAAATCCAAAGCGAAGAGACTGATATTTCACGCAAACTGTTCAAAATATGTATGAATATTCTTCATGAACGACAAATATCAGCTGCAGAATGTGCGTATCGCCTTTGCCATATCCCATTGCGGCACAGTTCACGAAATCGTATTTTCCGGAACACAAGAAAGCGTTAAAAAATATTACAGTTCGACGGAAGCGGACATCCAGTTAGCTACTACAGCAATATCTTTAAAATATATGAAAATCGTCCGTTACAACATCCTACGATTTTGCGAACATGAGCCTTACAGAGTTTGCTATGTTGTGTGAACCTCCTTCTTGAACCGATAAGTGATACCGAGGAAAGCATTGATCATGATGCCTATGAAGACCCACGACAGTAGGGTCTACGAACGGAGCCAAATTTTATCCGGCCAAGGACTGTCAACTCGGCAGAATTCTTAGAGTGCGACCAACAGCTTGAAAATGCATTTAACCAGATTCATGCCTTTGAAATTTTAGAACAGCCAGAGATTAGAAATCCTGACGTTGAAGAGGAAAAGTTACCAGAGAGAGAAATGAGCAATGATCAATTTCAAAAAGCGCGACAAGCTATGAATGTTGATCAAAGACAATTGTTCATTCTTAGCACAGAGAGCTTCGAAAACCAAATTAATGGTGATATTAAACGAGAGAAAATCTTTGTAACTGGAGGAGCAGGCACCGGGAAAAAATTTCTCTTTAATCTATTAAAAACCAAGTGTACCGATGCTATAGTAAACCGGTGGTAAAAGTTGGTGCTCTCACTGTAGTTGCAGCACGGTTGATCGGAGGATCTACGCTACACCATTTGCTAAAGCTACCAGTTAAGCTTCTGTTCTTAGATGAAATTTCTATAGTACCCGATGAGATGCTTTGTATGATCGACTCTCGTTTGCGATAGCTGAAAACTCTAGACGCTTGTTTTGGAGGCATAAATGTCATACCCTTTGGTGATCTAATGCAGTTACCACCTGTTCGAGGGCATCAAGTTTTTTACTCTAAATTGAAATATTCTCTCAATAACTTTAATTTTATCATAATTTAATTTTAAATTAATTAATTATGATGGATTGTTTGATATGCTACTACTGAAATATAAATTCTTTGTAATTTAAAATTATTTTCTACTTTTATTACTGTCTAGTTTGATTAGCTATAAAAGAATGGCTTTTTTGTTATTTTAAACTATTATATAATATATTAAATAATAAAATAAAACAAGTTTTAAAAGAGAAATACCTTAAAAACGAAATATAAATTTAAAGAAGGTTGAAATCTAGCCCTTCTTTTGGGTGATTTTCGCTTTCAACGCAATTCGCATACCAAATCATTATCTCAACAATCCAAACAAAAAACAGTCATTCAAGGGTAAATTCGACGGTAAATCGATTGTAAAAAGTCGGTACAAATGCAAAAGAAATGACGAAAAGACATTTTGTGACCACTTCAGTGAACCATTTCACGTTTATTGCCAATTGCTTATCGATTACATGTTAAATTTTTATAAATTTCTTTCGGCAATTGCAGCGACGTGCCACCGGCAGACAGCGATATTTGATATGCACACGCTGTAAGTTCGGCTACGCATATTAGGCGAGGTCTTCCGAGTCATGCATTTCGTTTATTTATTTTAAATATCAATTGAACTTATATTAAATCGCAAATGACTAATTTACAACACTTTAGGTTTCACTCGCCAATTCACTTAGTTTTTTGAGTATAAAAGGTAGTTAAGTTTGCCAAGGGAATCATACAACCTCAACACTTCCAATTGTCAAGTATAAGCAAACCCCAAACAAAAGCAAAATGTTCAAATTCGTAAGTTTTTTAGATATTTTACCGTTTTTTTTGTGTTCGTCATTTGCAATTTTTATTGCATACTTTCAGGTAACTTTCGTTCTTGTCGCTCTCGTTGCATGCGCATCAGCGAAACCCGGTGTTGTGGCACCATTAGCCGCCGCTCCTCTGGCCTACGCAAACGCTCCACTGTATGCCGCTGGCGGCAGCAGCCAAATCGACGTACGCAACAACTATGATGGCACACTTTCCTCATACACCACAACACCTTTCCAGTATTCCGGCCCCTTCGCCAGTCGTTATGTCTCTGGTGTCCCAGCTGCTTATGCCGCCGCTGCGCCAGTTTTGGCTAAATATGCTGCGCCAGCCGTCTTAGCCGCCCGCGCCCCTCTGGCTGCCTTGCCCGCACCTTTCGCCGCTGCGCCAGCTCCTTTAGCTGCTCTGCCCGCACCTTTCGCCGCTGCGCCAGCTCCTTTAACTGCTCTGCCCGCACCTTTGGCCGCCGCACCATTCGCCGCACCCTTCCACGCTGCTTACGCCGCTGCCCCAGCTCCCTATGCGTGGTAAAGAGGGTGGAATAGGTAGGAAGTAACGAAAACTGACGGCATTTTGCTTGCAAGTTGCTGAAACTTGAACTGATTAATCTGTTAAAGTAAAAATAAAAACAATTTAGAAACAAATGTTCAGTGTTTAACTTGAAGAAGTGTGGATGGTCACATCTGGTAGATTAGGGTGAGAAAACGATACGGGGAATATGTAGCACCAAAAAATATCTCTTAATAATCTAACAACTGTTCGAATCCTAACTTATTTTGTAAACCAAATGATGAATGTGCTTCTCAACCTAAGTTTTAGTTTTTCTTCTGGAGAACTGCCATCGTTGGAAATCTATAAAAAAATACAGAAATCAATTCTACTATTTTAGCTTAGAAATATTAATTAAGTTAATTGAACTACTTCTGCCGTTACAACTGAGGTCTCCTATCTGACCTTAAAGAGCCAAGCTATATCGGGGTGTTAGCAAATTTACTTTTTATTATTAGCGTATACACATATGTATATAAGTTCTTCTTAGCTGTTTAATGTCGTATATTAATATTGAAAAGGTAACTGGGGATGCATATTTTCCGGTTTCAGTGTTGGAGTTTTGCTTAGCAGTTCTATGTTCGATATTATCTTGTCTTTTACACGAAGTGTCTGAGTTTATTATCATTCAGTATTATGTTATCATTTATAAAATTAAAAAGACCAATGCCAGTTACACCTTACTAATGGAATCGTCTCGTCTTTATGAGAGAGAATTGAAGCCTTATGATTAAGGATTCCGCTAATAATTTGAAAACAAAAGAAGCAAAGTTCGTTAGCAACTAATTTTTGTAAGAAAAGGTATGTGAATACTTGTATTGAAAGGTGACAGAATTGTCTTGGCTCTGCGTCAGGTGAAGGATCCTTTCGTAAGTGGTTTGCTGAGTTTCATCTAGGCAAATTAGCATCGAAAACGATGAACTCAGTGGACATTCAAAGGAGGCTTTTGTGGTCGAAAATAACAAAAAAAAAATCACAAAATGTTGTGAGATGTCCGTAATATTAATCGTTGACAACTGATAATCGAAAAACATAAAAAAAGTGTTGTCCTTATCGTCCAAGAATGTTTCGGTATGTGAAGGCTGTGGAAAAAATCAATGCCGAAGGAAGCCAGAAATCAGCTGATCAATAGTTCAAATTGCTTTCTCTTGAGTCGGACTACTACTATAGCATTTAGCTGCCATACAAACCGAACAATCGTAATCAAGAGCTTGTAAGGAAAACTTTTTTTAGTTGAAGAGGTGCAATCTTCGAAGAAATTGCTCAGATCGGATTATTTTAGCACATAGATGCCATACAAACTGACTGATCAAAATCAAGTTCTTATAAGGAATCTTTTGTATTTGTGAAGAGTATTATAGCTTCGTTAACCGGAGTTAACGTTTTTTTTTGTATATTACATAACTTTATGTTGCTTTGTCAGATAGTAGTGCTTCCACGTATATTTCTTTGCATTGACATATATACATTCATTATGCATAAAAATGTAAACACAATGGAAACATTATGCTTACATTATAAAATGCACACCACACTGGTTGACCTGTGTCATAATTAGCGCCTAAAATAGTAACACTTGTTACAACATTCAACCAGCATTTAAAGCGAACTAATTGTTTGCCAGTGAGTGGGCCTATTGCGGTTATGAAAAGAGCAAAGCATTGCCCGCAACATTTTCCTTCACATTGAATACTAAAGAGCCAGTAATCGACCGTCGACCAAAAATGGTCACCCACAATAGTTTAATGGCGATTGACGCCGCAGTTCGTCACCATGTCCAACCAAGTATTGGCTAGAAAGTGAAATGTACAATGGTTTGCCCAGTAATTGTGGGTAATGTGAAGTTTTTCATATAAATGCCAGCAATAAAATTAATAATTCATTAGCCAGATAACATTTGCATAGACAAGTGTGGTCCTTGGTAAAACAACGTACTTTAAACTCTAACAAATATAAGCAAAATGACGTCTATGAAATTTGTAAGTAAACTCTCTTTGTTTCTCCATGAACTTTTTAAAGAATTAAGTACCTTCTCTATTTTCAGGCTTTCGTTTTGCTAGCCATGACGGCAGTAGCCGTCGCTAAGCCTTCATATCCTTTTTCACTAAATTCAGCTATACCGGACCATTTCGATCTATCTCCACCGGTGCTGCCACCAACACATTTCCACCCAGCTCCTCCTGCTCCCGAACAATGGTTACCTGAACCTCATTTCCATGCTGCTGCACCTGTACCTGAACCTTGGCTGCCTGCGCCTCATCTATTACCAGCACCTGCTCCATTCCTTCCTGCTCCAACGCCAATACTTCCAGCTCCTGCACCAATACTACCAGCTCCAGCCGCATTTCTGCCAGCTCCTACTCCAGTCCTTCCAGCACCCGCCTTTTTACCAGCTCCGGTAGTGCATCATCATCACCATGTGGTGCCCGCACCTCTGCCCGTACCAGTGCCAGTGTTGCAACCCGCGCTCGCCCCACCAGTGTTAGAGCCTGCAGCATTTGTAGCTCCCTCATACCGCGCCGTATTTGGCCCCAAAACCACTACACACCACGTGTCAGTCGGTTATGCTTTTCCCACAGCGCATGTGGCTAAAATAGTGGCGCCTCACGCTCATCTTCATTCCGTGCCTGTGCACTCGGCTAAATTATTGGCTCACCACCACCATCACTCACTCTTCTAATTTCCTTTGTTGTAAAGAAAAAGTGATTAATTAGAGACAAAAGGAAGTTGATATGTTGGCATAGCAAAAGCGAATAGCACCAAAGTCATTTACGTACGTACCTTACATCAGTATGCCAGTATGTATATATCATGGAGTTTAAGTTTTACTTTGACTCGATTGTTAATTTATTTAACATTTGTTATTTTTAATCTATTTTAATTTTGCGTATTTATAATTTGTAGCAATAATTACCTTTGTAATAATTACACAACCCAAGTATTCGAATAATTAGTACAATGAAATAAACAAGTTAATAATATTGTATGTGCAAAAAAAATTGGGACTGGAGTTTTTCATTAAAATATAGGTTATTTGTAAATGATTGTAGATATCAAGTGCTTATTCTTTAAATAAGTCAGCTATACTCATGACTGATAGCTATCAGTTCTCTGACCAATTTGAATATATGAGATTCTCACTTAAAGCAAAAATAAATCTTCCAGGTTTATAAATAGAGTACCTGTAGTCACCTCACTTCACAGTTTTTCTTCCAACCATCCGAGACTTTAGTAAATTCAAGAATTGTGCTTGACGCAAGAAAGACCAAATGCTTTCTACTCGGATTTGAGTACCCCAATATTTTTACAGTTTAAAGCAAGAGCTTCGGTCTAACTATCACCATACAATGTTTGAAACAAATCTTTAAACTAGTGTTGAGTTAAATAATTAACAATGTACAATTGTTGTCGTATGCTTACGATTCATACATCTTCGGACTAAAGATATTACCCAACAGCTCCGTTTTCCCTATACAAGTATTGTTTACAGAAGTGTGGAGGATTGGAGGAGGATATACATCAAATAAAAAGTTCGAGCAACGAATTTGCACTAATGATAGCCAAAATTTTGAAGATGGAGGCAAATTCATGCAACCTGAAAGTACCACAAACTTCAAAAGGCGCACAATGCTGTCTACGAAAATGGAAAAGTTTTAGCTCGAAGAAAAATGACTAAACTTACAACCGATGAGGTAGCTTTTTTGGGTCTTCGGCAGACGCGTTAGCAAAGGTAAATATTGTATAAAAGATATTATGAGCTGTATGTACTTGATGTCGATATCACAATATTTAAGCCAACGTAATTGAGGGTGGACTGAAAGCAGATCATCAACTTCCAAGCAGCAATATAGTAGCAGCGAATGTAATAAAATCCGTGTTGTTTTGCATTAATTGTAATTTAATTAATTTTAATTTAGCAACATTTTACTTTATTTGATTTCCTATATTTTAACTTATTGAGAGAGCTCGAATAACACGAATAGACGTATTCTCGAAAAAGTCAATTCTGATTTTAAAACTGGAGGTGTCCAAATGTTTTGATTATCCACAATCAACCTCTTAATAATTTAACCACATTTAGGCTTTCGGTTACATGAGAGATAGGTATGTACATACTTTGTTTAATATCTAAGAAATGTTAAATAAAAACGCTAACTTCGTTGTTCGGTTGAAGCTATAAGCTAGAGGAGCCCGATCTGAACAATTTCTTCGGAGATGCCTTGAACAATAACATATGCCAAATTTCGTGAACATATCTTGTCAAATAAAAAGTTTTCCAAACAAGAATTTAATTTTTATCGTTCAGTTTGTGGGGCAGATACATACATAAATCGCCGGTTCCCACAAATGAGCAGCTTCTTAGGCAGAAAAGAACCTGTGCAAAATTTCAGATTGATATCTCAAAAACTGAGGGACAAGCTCGCGTATATACCGACAGCCGAGCTTAGTTAAAACGACTAAGCATGTTCCGCTGTTCATTTATATACTAGTACTTTATAGGGTCCTCGTCATTTTCTTCTGAGCGTTACAAACTTCGTTGCAACCTTAACATACCTTGTTCAGGATATAGTTAAATTGAGAATGAGTATTGCATATATTTATCGCTAAAATAGAAAGGTACCTTATTAATGTTAAAATTTACTTCCTTATACGGAAATGTATCCTTTTTTTGTAACCTCGATTACTGATAACAAACTCGAAAATATAAGAAAAATAGGAGATATTTTGTATGGTTAAAGCTATCGAATCTGATCTACAGATAAAGTGAGATATTTGAGAGGAACACAGACATAAAAAAAATCTTACACCTAGAGTGATATATGTACTATTAAAATAATTTTTCGAATCTCTATGTCTCTCACATAAAATTCCAGCCAGGTATGTTCAATTTGTCAAAACATATCTATACTACTTAGATTGGCCACCGACACCAATGTATATAAATAAGTTGAATCGCGTTATCGAAATTGCATAAATTTCATAATTTCCCATTTTAATCGTACACGTATACATAAGTATACACACTAGGGTGGGTAAAAAAAACGAATATTTTTTTCGCTTGTTACTCTAAAAAATAAGTCCTTAGACACCTATAATAAATCTCTCCAGACATTTTTTGAAGAAGCGAGATATAAATATTTCTATCTGATAATAAGAAAAAATAGATAAGTGTAAAACCTTCACGTTACAATTAAGAGCTCTAACTTGTAAAGATTTTCATCATCAAAATTTCAAAATCGTTTTTATTTATATACCCTAACACGCATACATACTAACATATGGGTATATATTAAATGGCATGCAAATGTTTGGATTAAATAATTCACTAATTTACAGCACGCAAAATTAGGCAACGCATTTGACACGCAAGGCACGTAACCAACTACCGTCTGGTTGAGCCGTTGTTGGTCACCGTGTTGATGCAACCGACGTTGACGGTATATGCAAGCGTACGCACGTTCAAAATCGCCTCACACCCAAAATCAATCGCTTGCGAAGACAAGACACCGCGTAAGACGGCAGCAAAACGCAAAGGTGCAAAGTAAACAATTGACCCCGAATATTTACTATGTGCAGTGTCTTATGGTCCTACAATTTGCTCACACTTCCTACCAGACGCTTTTCCAAAAAAAGCGAAACTAAATTTTTATTTTGGAGACAGATGTGGATTGAACAAACCCTTACGATCCCCTTGTCTTATAGCGATGCTCACGTTTTTTATCCGAGGACTTAATATAGATGTATATGTGAATATATTTCATTAATTTTAGTAACTTCAGCGTTAATTCGACACATGGTCCAAAACCCAAAACATATTCTCTTGGTTTATGGCAAAGATCGAAACAATGTCATCTGCACAAAATAAGGTTAGTAAAAATAGATAATCCCAAAATATGCTAAAGATTATAATGAAGGAACATTTTGACCCTCGAACGTTTCTCCTTTATACTATTACATTCTTTTAATATTACTTCAAATGCAAAGTTTACGACATCCTTCAATTGTTCTTCTGGTAAGTTTCCAAACATAGACTATGAAGTATTAAAATTAGAATGGAGATTAGAATCGGCAAGTTCTTTGATAATTTGGAAAATCTAATGAATTTATAATAACGGAGATTTAATAACCTGATAACTGAAAAGAGTAGAAAGCAACTATTTAATATCAATGTAGTGCATTGATACAATGCAACAATGAAGGTATCGGGATAAAGCTCTGTCTGCACAAATAGTACTTTTAAGATATGTCATGTCTAATCTAGAAGTTGTAAAATCGGATCATAACTAGTCTAGATACCGAATAAATGGAGCCCAGTGCGTATAGCTCGCTTGTTAGCGAAAATATCAGCCCAACTGTAAGCTTTATTATAAAATTCAGAGAGCTTTTGATAAAATCAGGTGAATACTTCCCCCATGTTCCAATTATCTAATATAAGAATTTCGAACTTTTGGTATTATACCGTAAATATCAGTAAATATGTAAGATACTTTAGAGATATTACGTTTGATATTGGATATATACAATATCTTATTGCAGAAAATGTGTAAAATCGGTCCACAAATTACCCCAGCTCCCATATAACACATACTATAATAATTTCCGTTATATTTTTCGAATAATTCTACGGCCCCTAGGCAACCCTCTAGAAAAAAAATTCTTTTATGAAAATTCAAGTGGAGTGTAACTCGTTAAGCTGACAGACGCAATGTACATGGCACTGTTTTATTTTAATAATTTTGATATTAAGTAATAGCAAGTTGAATTAAAATAGTCCACTGTACATGCCTATCGAAATACGGCCGACCATTTAGTACAAGCTGGCATACATAGCGATATCGCTTACTGCACTAACTCTAATTCCCCGTTCACCAACCTATTCATCGAGCCAATAAATAACAATTTGTCGACAACTATTTACTAATGGAAATTAAATTATTTCATTACTTGAAGTGATTACGTAGGCGTTGATTGCGGGTGGCAGCTTGTGACACTAGTTGACCAACGTGCACGAATACAAAAATGAACACACACATGCTCAGCCGCACTATTATGTTATATATCAGCTCTATGCGAATAGGTCGGCCTTTTACCTGGAAGTATGTAAGTCAATTGGGGCGCATGAAATACAGAAGTGTGACAATGCCTTGGGTGTACTATGTGGGTTTATCAGACATTCCATGGTTTTTTGTTGCAATTTTCGTATCCAACAAAAGTAAACTATTTTTGGACGTATTAAATAATGTAATGCGCAATTGATTTACTTAAATTAAATTATTAATCAATCGGTTATAGCATAAAGGGCATTGGTAGGTGCAAAATTGTAGTGCGGCGAATCGGCGCTTGCCAAATATTTGGGAAGCTATGTACATTACTTTACAGTTAAACGAAGCGCTGTTTTTAGTAACCTTATAGTGCATTAACTGGATTGACTTAGAGCAATTGCAATTATTATAAAAGATCTATCAAAGCATTCGATATGCATCAAAGTCGTTCATATCGTCGGGCAATTAACATCGACTCACAAAAATTTTTACCACAGAAAAAAATTCGCAATATTCAAAAAATATGGCCAATAAATTTTTGGTGTGCACTCAATAAGATTCCATTAAATTTATAATTAAATCAACTTTTAACATCTTTATCTAATTCCTTTCAGCTCATCGCTTCATTCGCCTGTGTCGCTGTAGCGAACGCTGGTTTACTGCCTGCCGCTGCCATTGCTCCTGGATTTGTCGCACCATATGCGTCATCGTTCAATGCTCATCACATTAATCACGCTGTAGCGTTGCCAGTCGCTCCACCCGCAGTGCCAATTGCTGCACCGGCACCCTTCGCCGTGGCTGCTCCACCCAGGGTAACCTTTGCTGCCCCAGCTCCTGTTGCAGCGTCGTTAGCATTCCCTCCTAAGGTGGCTTTCGCCGCCCCAGCACCGGTTGCGTTCTCTGCTCCCGCTAGAATCGCTGCACCTTTGGCTGCCCCCTTGCCATTCGCCCCGGCGCCACTCCAATATGCTCCAGCACCTCTGCGTTTCGCCGCGCCAGCACCGTTCCTGGGTTAGACCGATCAAACTACATGAACTAGATAGATTTGTAAATACACTGGCGCTTATTATAATTAAATTATTGTAAGGGATGCATATTCTCAAACTATGATTTATTGATAATTATAGAAAATCTACAAAAATAGGAATATGAAAGAATAGTTATCTTAACCGAAAATATTTTGTTTATATGAATTGTTAGCGGTAGTTGAAATGCATTGTAATCCATCGGATTCCTACAAAATTCGTTAACTTGATGTTGGCGTTGACGAGAAGGTCTAAGACGCAACAAAATCCCGATAGGTGGTGCTAGAACCATTTTACAACTAATAAGCTTATTTCTGCTTCGATTAGGCTCATATTCAATATACATATTGGGATTGGGAAAGTGCATTACACTGGTAAAAAAAGTACTCCGCGAGATGGTACTACTCTTATATTATATAATATTATTACAAAGGGTAATAATTACGGTCCTATTTTGTTCCTATTACATGGTTTATAAATTAAAAATGCGGTAAATATTTAAATTTGGATTATAATTCGAATCAAATAGTACATCAAAAGTCAGTTGACCAGACCGAATCTATTAAGAAATATGAACAAGAAGAAGACTCGATAGATAGTCGAATCTATGGTGCTCAGTTACAATCAAACAATTCAAAATTAAAATTTCGTCCAAAATATAGGGAACAAAATAAATATTAAATAACTAATCTGGATAAGATTAAATATATAGGTCAAAGTAACTGCGAGACTTACTCTTTAAATGGATGTACTTAGTCTTGCCATAAATTCTGTTACAAAGCTTACAATATAAAAACATTAACATAAATGACACAATTTATATTATTTGAGTAAAAGTTATGTCTAAAAAGAGATTAACTTTGCTCTCGGGAATATTTCAAAGTCCATTTGTATGGGTCTTCTATGTAACATTATTTAAGCAAAATGAAGCAAAATAAGAGATAATATTTAGGGCCTTTAATTTCATGGATTTCTACTTTTGAACTACATATCACCACAAAATCAATCGCAAAATAATAATAATTAGCAGCAGTAAATAAGCCCCGCCAATTCATTAACCATTAATTTCCCGAAGTTATAGTCACACCTACATAACTGTTAAATATTTTAGTTGAACATTTTATTTCGTTTCCTTTCGTCGGTTTTAATTACGTATGTAGTTTAGCATTCCAAACTTTACAACACAATCAACTCATCGTGTGGTTCACGATGGAAGAGCGGCTTGTCGGCATTGGGTTTGTGCGTTGCTGGCTCCGAGTCGTAAGTGATATGCGCGATGTGAGTTAGTGGTGCCACAATGGCAGTGGCCATTCGCTCGGCTGCAGCGGCCTCCTCATCAACTGCATTACCTGCAGCTACATCTATATCTTGCTTGTCAGCAATTTGGTAGTTCGGATCGGACTCACTGTTGGAACTTATATTCGACGTGGAAATTTGTGCAAAGTTAGTTGTTGGATTGTTGGTGGATTCTGATTCTGCTACAATCACTGCATTCTCTTCCACAATTGGCGCTGCTTGGCCACTGCACACAAACCATAAAAGAATTAAGGTCAACAACCGCATCTGTGAAAGGTGTAGAAAATGTTGATGAGCTCAAGGTTCGCACTCGCGTCAATGAAGTTGAACTTAAACTACTTATTAACGCATATACAAGCACACAATTAACATTTTTGCTTGGGTAACATATATTAACACGTAATCACTCACTTTCATGTTAATACACGACATTGTTGATATGAGATTTACTAAAACTTATTGCTATGCAGTTTATTGTCGATTCCGCTCTTGCACTTCTGTTAATTTTCTTGTAATTTTCAGTATGCTGACGCCGTCCGTAGGTATTCTGGCTTTCATTAGACCTTGGCTTCTTAAATTAAACTACGACGGCTTTTTTCTGGTGCAAGGCATTTTATAAACTTCAACTTGACACCACACTAGACAACAGTATGTGTACAAGAACTCTTGTATTATTTGAATGTTCCCTGCAGGAAATGCTCGACTTAAAGTAATTCTATACCAGTCTACATCTTTGCGATTCATCAGAAAAAATTTTAATAGGATTGGTTTATTGCCTTTTACTCTTTGGTTTATTTTTGCTATTTTTAGTATATATGTAGATGATATGAATCGAATCATTGTGATCCTTACTTATTGCCGCTGCTTTTTAAAATACAAACATTACAAATAGACCTGTGCAGAAGCCTTCAAAAAAGGTAAAAAGAGAAAGAAAACCACAGTAGGTTAAAACCCATTGGAAGCGAAAGATGAAAATGAAAGGATAAATAATTAAAGAGCGAACTGAGGTCGGAAAGAGAAAGAGGAGGAGCGTGGTTGAATTTATAAGAGTTAAAACCGGTTTAGCTCGATTTCCGGCAAAACTACGAGTCCTGTAGAAAAATATTATATGACAAAGTTTTTTATTATCAATTTTGTTTTTTAAAGTCAATAGGTTTTACGTTTTTTTGAAATCTCTTCTTTCTAATGGTATAAAAAATGTATACAATATTATTATAAATTTTCTTAGAAAAGCAGGAGTGGGGTCTTTTCCTGCTAAATAGGTGCTACTACGAAATATTAAGACAAAATTTACCATAGTAATCATATATTTTTAATACTGTCAGAAAGTAGAGATTTCAGCATACATTAAGCCTACTGACATTAGCTTTGAATCTTAACCGCTAGTAGCTGCTAGCTATCAGGAAGAAGAAAATTGACAGTTTCGCTCACAGAGAGCGAAATGACGAAAATGTAAAAAAATGGAAAACCAGCAGAAACTAGCAAGAAAATATCAAGATGTTTTTACAATCACTTCATATCAACACTTGAAAATCAATCAAAAGTATTTTGATTATTATAATTCAAAATAATAAAATTAAACCAAATCAAAGCATATGAGTCAAATACCGCTTGTATAGACATGTGCTTTAACAACTGTTTCTTCATATGGCAATAGATATTTTCTGCCAATAGAAATTTCACTAGCAGCAACTAGCAGCTCTCTCAGCTTTTTGCACTCTCAACTTATCCCTCTTCTGTTAGTTTTTTCGGTTAAGAAACGCTTTTCCAACAGAAATTTGGCTAGCTAGTAATAGTTAGCAGTTAAAATACAAACCTATTGTAACACAATCTAAAAATTTGTAGTGAGATTTTTTGATTGAAAATTAGGTGTTTTTTCGGTGTTCAGTCAAAACAAGGCTTTCTTCTTTAATATTTCAAATTAAAAAAATACATTTTATTTGTGACATAAGAAAGTAAATTAACACCAAATTTCGTTATAGGTTTTTTTAGTACAAGGTAAAAAAAAACCCAAAAACCCTGGTCTAAAAGTGCAGTTCCATTTACGAATATTGTGAAAATTTGCTCAAACTTTAATGCCATTTGTACTTTTTCCTTTTTTCAGGAGATAATAATATGGTAAGAACTCACAACTGCATTTTTTGTAAATGGGAAAGGAATAATTTGTCGCCAAACGCTGCGGTCTGGATATTAAGACAATTTTTTTTATTTAATCTATGCATTTAATGAAATTAAATTGTCTATTATCCCTCCTTTTTTTTGTTATTTTTTTTTTGTTTCAAAGCTTTATAACTCAGTTCCCCTAAATTTCTTGCAGGGTGCGCTTCCGCAAATACCATACACATATTTATATGCAAGCTTTAGTTGGTTCTTCTATGATTCTGCTTGCCATGCTTGAGTACGTGATTGTCATCGATAAATTTATTGTATTTTCAACGTCGTTCTTTATTGACACATGTTTCTTAGCTTTCTTTTCTTAATACTTTTCATACACTATTTCCCCCTAAGCGTTTAATATATGTGCATTTACATAAAGCTAAATGAATATTGTTGGTAGGCACTTAATATTTGGCTCGAAACCCGTTTCAAGACTTGCCGCTCTCCAGCCTTTCTTTCCTTTTGCTTTCTTCTGGTATTCCACTTTCAATAGAGTTTTACGAAGTTACTCTCGCTGTTGTTTAGTTGGTTGTTGCTTTCTGGTTTGTCTTCATTTCTGTGAACCATTGAGGACAACTGCTTCATCATTCGGTTATCAGTTATCTTAAGCGAGTTGCAGCACCACGAAACTTGTTGAGCTTCATAGCCAACTGGTTTTCAAGTTCAAGTTTATATTGTTGACATAATCTACCGGCATCGAAACACGCTGACATGCTCACAGAAAACTGCCACAGGATATATAATCGTATATGCATGTATTTGGATATGAGACTGCGCTGGATAATAGTGTACTTAGCCAGCAGTGAAATGTCATACCAGTTAGGAAAGATACTAGTTTACAAATGGAAGTTTGTGACCAAAATCTAACTGGTTCCAAATTTAGTATGAACTAGGCCGGAAAATATTTGAATTGAATCAATTCAAAAATTATAATTTATTTAATTAAATACAACAAACATAATTTGTATTAAAACCTTATCGTTTTTATGATTTCGGATAAATTAATAAACGAACCAGTTGGTTTTATGTTCATTATGAACTAGTATAAAATTGGTATATGTACATATTCCTGGGCGAGCTCTGACAATTGTCACCACAATGCACAATAACATATAAAATAACAATTATTGGTAAAAATATTTAATATATTAAAAGAAATATTTAAATTTATTCCTCAGCCGAAAAAGGTATAACAATTTTTTATATAATATATAGCATCAAGGGAAATCAATAGTTAAGAAAATCTAAGAGAGTTATAGACAAAGTACGATATATATTGTAGATCGTCATTGCTTCGTTCGATTTACTTGCATATTCCAAACCCGTTTTGAAAATGTCTGTAGGAACACTTGATGAGCTCAGGTTGTACTTGGCAATACAATTTTGTAGGTGACACTACAGGTTTTTTTAGTCTCCTTATAATGGTACAGAACGTCTTGACGACGTTTTTAAGGTTAAACATGTACAACTTTTTTGTACTTTTTGAACTTCATGAGAAAAAGGAGAGAGACAATAGAATGAGCGGATATTAGTCCCGGTGGTATCATAATGGGCCTTCTAAAGGTCTAGGGCGTCATCAAACAGCTACTCTACCTACTTACTTACCTATAATGGTCTAGGTGCGTCGTCAAACAGCTATAATGGTACAAACAGTGAAATCATGTTAAGGGAATGAAGCTAACGCATCATCTTGAAAAAGCTATGAAACTTGAATTCTGTACCAAGAGTTTATTATCTTTATAGTATAAGATTTTTCATGATATATATATATCTCGATTAGTTTTAATTGTTACAAACAGCCGTTAGGTGAACAAAACTATAATACTCTGTAGAAACATGTTGTGAAAGTATGAAAAACTACTAAAAGTGCGATGACTCTCTACTAAAATAAGCGCTGACTTCCTATTTGAGACCAGACCCATTGTACCATTTTAACAAAAACTTTTTTCCTTTACCAAAATTGGTGCATACTTATCTATTAATGTCACTCTGAAAGACCACTTGGCGGCAATATCGATACAAAGAACCGGGGACCGTATGAAGGAAGCAATCGCACAGTAGCGGCTAGCATTGGCTGATGCTTGAGAGGTTCTTATGTCACCTTGTAGCCCGGACCTACATTAAATAATTATTACCTGTTCCCGTCTAGATTGAATGAATTTGCTGGAGAAAAATGAGCGTTGCATATTTGACCTTCTTCAGTTCAAAGTAAATATAATAGATTTCCTTTTTCTTGACCTTATACCTATAAAGTAATATAATACAAGTATATACATAATGTTCGGTTACCACGTATATAGCCTTTGTTTCACTCTGAAAAAGTATGAATTGGTTTTGAGGATCATAATGTAGACTTTTATTATATTTCTTGGCATTATGTATTTTTTCGCTTAAAACAAAGGAGTCACTGCTAAATGGGCATTACTTGGTTTTCAAACTGACTAAAAACTCCCTTCTATCTCTATATTAAATAATCCTTTGACGTTAATCATGGCTTTCACGTCGAGTATTCATAATGTACTCGCTACACCTTTGTACCTCCTTTTGCAAATCACTTGCAATGTCAACATCACTAATACCAGCAATAAAATTTTTGAACATCCCTTACGCCGGACCATCTTTACATACACGGCTGGAATGCGGAAGTCTTATACTTTGCAATACAATAGTATAAATAACTGGTCCCTTTTCGGAGTTTCTCTTTTTGACATCTGTTACTTGATTTATACTCAGTTTGTTACATTCAATGGGGAACGTCATGTAACCATGATTAGAGACATTTTCGTGCATGAATTGCAGGATGTTGATGTGGACGACTTTTGGATCCAACAAGACAGCAGTAAATGCCGTACAGCCAACGAAACAATCAATTTAGTGAAGGCGTCGTTAGCCTGTGCCGTGGCCTCCAAGTACAAGAAAAAATGTCTGGTGTTATTTGCGTATGGTCAAAATGTAATATTTGGTAAGCGAATTAATTTTGTGGTTATATAATTAATATACCACTGTTTAGTAAATTATTGCTAAATTCAAAGGTATTGGTGGAGTTGAAAGACTTGATGGTAGTGGAACGCTCAAAACATTTGCACGCCCCGGTAGAAATTAAAGTTGCTCGGAGTATCAAGCAAAACCCCAAAAAATCCGGTTTCGCAAACCCTAAGGAGTTGCAAGAAGGTGGCATTGCAAAACTCCATATAAATAAATTTTGAAAAAATATACTATGCAGAATTAAAATAGATTTTCTACCACTTAAAATTTTCATTTTGAAAATAAGCAGCTTTTCTGTATGAACACTGACATTAATATGAAATAAAATGTTAATGGAGTGACATGTGTTTCTGATTGTGTATTTTTATGACCTCTCAAATAAATCCGATAATAACGTATAGCCGGCTATCATGAAGTAATAAACTAACATTAGAACGATAACAATAAAGCTTGCAATGGAAAAATTCG